GAAAGAGTGGGAATTAGCAGCTAGGAAAAAGAAGGGAGCTGACCAAGGTCAGCGTAAATAGACCACAGAACTGCACCATAAGTGTATGATTTCACAAGACAGCACTGACAGCTTGCCACCACCAAAAGGTGGGTAGGACGTGCCATCAGCTGACAATCTGGTTCAGTAATAAAGCCATATGCTAAACCTCCTCCATTATGAGGGTAAAGTAAGAGTTAAAGTGACAGCATTCCTCTTCCATCTGCTACAGGCTCAACCTGTGCAGTGGCATGCATCTACATAGATTAGGCAGGTCTCCACTTGTCTGGACATATCCCAGGCCTGCATCAACTCAAAAGAGAAGCAATAACAGGTCATTCAGTATTTAATCTAGCTGTGCTTTGCAGTAGGAACACAACTTTAATTACTGACTTGTCTACTCTCTTGAAGCAATGGGTGTTGCATCAGAGGTTGCAGAACACTAGCTTGCATTTAAACCTGAGATAAAGCCTAGACCATGATCTTTACATGCACAGTTGGCCCATCAGATGCTAAAGAAAGAGCCATTTCACCTTGCCCTCTATCTATGCTTGAGGAGGTAAGCCACTTGACCAGCCAAAAAGGCAGCATGTCATTGGCACAAAAGCCCCGTACAAGAAGCTTCATAAATTCCTTGATGCATCTACTATCTTTCTCCGTGTAACTTTATAGCACGTAAGACCTTTCCAGACAATCAGCCTCCTACCTTTGAAAGCAATCCCTGCATTGTTAACCAGCACATTCAGCCCTCCGTATTTCTCCTGTAGGAAGTCCCGGAGAGCTTTGATGCTCTGCAGATCATCGATATCCAACTGGTGGAAGAGAGGATGCAGCCCTTCCTTCTGCAGCTTAGCCACTGCTTCCTGGCCACGTCCAGGGTCTCGGGCTGTCAAGTATACATCTCCTGGGAACTGCTTGCATAGAGCCCGCACAATTGCGAATCCAATTCCTTTGTTGGCTCCCGTCACCACAGCCACTGGGATGCTAGACATTGTTTTCTCCGAGCGTATGCCAAAATTATACTAACTGCAAATGGAAAAGAAGAAAATTACACCTTGGGATAGACGAAGATGGATATTTGTAAACAGATTAAAGTGTTTTTCTTAAAAGTCCTATTTAGAATTCCATTTTGAATTAAGTAAACACATAATAGAATATACACTAACTCTAACTTACTAAAGTACCTTAGAGCATCACGAAAGAAATACATGTTTTTGTCCATGTTTTGAAGAAAGCCCAGCCACTGACCGCGTAAAAATCACCGCCTAAGCACCTGAAGCACTCAGTTAACTTTTAATAGGAAAAGCTCTTCTGCAGATACACCTTGCAGAAAGGCCATTTCGTTCTTTCCAGGATATTCAGCTAGTTCAGTTCAAGCACTGACGCCATCAGAGTTTTAAAAAAAAAAAAAAAAAATAGGGCTCAGAAAAGCAGCGGAGAGGCTTGACCCTGAAGTGCCAGGTAGAGGGATTAGTTTTAGCGTTTTTAGAGAGAAACAGTGGTCCATGCATTGGCTACAATGTTCTTTCTGTTTAACACATTATGCTTTAGATAGAATGCATACTTGAGAAAATTGCTGTTTTTCTTGCATACGCAGCACACTTAAAGAAGCTGTATTCCCCCCATAAAAACAAGTGTAAAACACTGTTTTGCTCACTTTTGACTGAATTCCCTTTTCCCCTCCAAATTAGCTTGTAATTAACCACCTGCAGACATCTAGCGAGAAAGAAGTCTTAAGCAGCTGCTAAAAACACACACGTAAAGGCTACAAGGCCTCACAAACAGGCTGATTTCACCAGGGCCCGCAGCCACCCTTCTGGTTCGCCATAAAATCCCCGCTTCGTTGCAAATCGGCACGCTTTACCCCCTAGCAGCTCCCCGGGACTGATTTTTCTTCTTAACTGAAACCCAAAGCCAGGCCGCAAG